TAGTCATGCTTTTCTTTTCTTCTTTAGGCTCCGATTGTGTTGTAGCGGGATACCCTATTAAAACCGCTTCAGTAAAAAGTCATAATAATACGCCAACCAGTTTACAGTGATATCATTCATAGTCATCTTTCAAAAACAAATAATCACCGTTTCAAGAACAATAAATTGCTTACGAACAAAGAGATCGTACTGCAAACCAATTGTTCGTAAGAACTTTCCTAGCCTTGCCAACAATTGCTTTTCAATTATACAAATAATTTCTTTGCAATAGAAAGACCGAAAATTGTTCTTAACGTTGCAGAGCATTTAGTACGCAATCGTTTCAAAGTGAGAAAATATCACTTTCTGGTGCGTGATCCCCTCAGAGTAATGTGACTGCTGTTTCACTGGTCTCGCTTTTTTCGTGCACAGTCATGCTGGAGGCTACAGGAAAGCCGCACCACCAAGCTACCGTCTCCAGCGCCTTGTCGGTAGGCCGACTGCTCTTCCTCCTCACCGTGGGGCTTTGCTTTGCAGAAGTGGTGGCTCTACTTGGCGTGCCTCTCCTCACCTATGATTCTTTCTTCCAATTCTGGCCTCCGGCTGACGGCAGAATGTAAGCTCACTGCGTATATTCAATCATCGCTTTGATCGTGAAAGGCAACCCCTGGTAACTCAAATCGAGATCGGAAACCACTAAATCGGTGCGGTCTGCGTACTGCTAACCTCGGAAATCGTAACATGTTCAGTTTCCAATCCACTTTTGCGTATTTGTTTTAGTGCCTAGACCGCTTGACACAATAGTATAGTTCTATGAACAAGCAGGCCCACCCTTCCGCCAAACGAAGTAGCTAGTTTCACTTCGTTTCACAGGCAACTCGAGGGGAAAATCACTTCGGTTCGTGGCGTACGGGTTATTTCGTGGTATTTCTCCTGCATTTTCGGTTAGTTCTCGCCTATTTCGGATTATTTCAGGGTATTTCGCGGTATTTCGGAGTATTTTAGGGGTATTTCGTGACCATTTCACCGACTATTTCGGGGCGTATGTCGCTAGCGGGCAAGGGCCCCAGGTAGAAGGGTCAGGATTGTCGCTAGCGGGCATCGGAGGGAAAAGAGGGGATTGTGCGGGAGAAAAGGGAAATTGTCGCTAGCGGGCAGCGCGACGGGTTGCCTACCTCCACGGCGTTGGGGCCGCAGCGAGCCGGGCGACTTGTGGTGCGGGTTCCGCTCACTCACACCTATCGTTTACGGACGCAGACAGGCTCACGGCCTCGGCGTGCAGCTTCCGAGCTTTGCTTTTAAATAAGAGGAAGCAAACCTAAACTAACGAACCTAATTCAATACAGGGAATAAGCAAATATACTTATCAGTGAAGCGTTGCACTCCGCTATCGCTCCGTGCAACGCTTTGGCATGAGGACCTGAAGTTGTCCGAGACCTAGCCGACACGTGTCGTTTCGTTGCGGAGGGAAATGTCTCTTTCTTCTCTCGGCTTTCCCCGCTCGCCCCGCAAACGACAATCCGCGCCTTGGCCTTGCCACAATCGACACCGACCCTTCTGACCTGGGGGCTTAGTGCCGCAAACGACCATACGCCGTCTCACGCACCTGATACAGCCCTGCCCAGCTGAAAATTCCGCCAGAAATTATTCCATGGAGTTCAAATCCCTTGAGTAATTTGGTTACATCCATGTAAAATTTTCCCTGGAACAGTGATTCCACGGGAAAGCATTGTTCGATGGAAATGGATTCCATGGAAATAATATGGCATGGTCCCTGGAAATTTCTTCCATGGAAATAGCATATCGCACTTAGGTTTTGGCGACACATGATTATTTTTTTGCTTGTGATTGCACGGAGATCCAGATCAATGAACACAGCACATTATTGGTAGCTTACATTCGACCAAAGACCAAAGAACATAAAGAATCAATAATTTTGAAACAAAATACCGTACCGCGGTAGCATGCTAAGGTTATGTTTGAGGTTAAGTGCTACGGGTCTCTGCGAAAATCTGTTTATTCTGCTTTTCAAAACCGTGCTCCGACTTTTACTTACTGGGTAGATTAATGCCGACGATATCAAAGAAACCATCGATATCCTCAATCCTCATGGGCAGTCCTCACAAGAATATACAAACGAATATAACGAAACTTTATTCCACGAGTTGCGCGCGTCGGCCAGCGGCAGCAGCAACGAGCGGGAGGGCTCTGTTACAGGTTAGGTAGGTCGGCTCACCGCCACCACCAGCTCAGGCGAAGTGACAGTCTTTGTTTCGCTAGTAAAATCATCTGGTTCGGGGGGCCAGACGTAAAGAAATGTCGATCTTTGGCATGTGCACTATGTTCCGACTATGTAAGTAAAAGTTAGACATTCTGTAGGAAAAAAATAATCTGGAACGACGACAGATCTAATTACGAGGACTCGTTTCTAATAACGTAATCACATAACCTTTAAAGCAACAGTCTCGGTTTTTTATCCCAACTTCCTAATTTCCCAATTTTTAATTCATTTCCCTCATTTACTTTTTTGATTAGTTCAATAGTCTAGTTTGATATGAGAAAGCGATGATTCTTTTCTCCAAGCATGTGCATTTGAAACAGTGAAGTTATGAATTTCCATGGAAGTTGAGATGGTTTCCGCCCAACAGTGCTTTGCGTACAAGGATGGGGTTTCCAAGGAATTTCCTGCATTTCCACGGAATTTCCATGAAACTTAGACGTTGCGTGGAAATTGCCACCACTCAGTGGAATGCGTTTCCTCCATGGAAGCAATCTCCTTGGAACATGTGTTCCGTGTAACATTACGAATCCCCGGAAAGTGAATATCCGCGGAAAGTTATTCCGAGGGCAACTAGAATTTTCCATGGGATTAAAAAAATCCGAGGAAAACGAATATTATCCAGGTAACGTCGAGAATTTCTGTGGGATCGTCATTTCCGGCGGAAAAATGGAAAAACCCGTAGAAAATCGCGAATTTCCACCGGAAAGTGCCAAATTTCCGGCGGGATTTTCAGCTGGGTGGGCCGTAATACACTACGGCCCCAACGCCGTGGAGGTAGGCAACCCGTCGCGCTGCCCGCTAGCGACAATTTCCCTTTTCTCCCGAACAATCCCCTCTTTTCCCTCCGATGCCCGCTAGCGACAGTCCTGACCCTTCTACCTGGGGCCCTTGCCCGCTAGCGACCACCTCTCCTATTTCGGGTCTATTTCACTCTATTTCGCTATTTCGCCTTTATTTCGGACTATTTCGGGGGAAGGTGTACGAGTTATTTCGCAAATGATTTCCCCCTCGAGGCAACTCCGTTCGGCTAGGGCCAGGCCTGCCGGCTTCTTTGCCTTTCATGGTATTCTGTAAATATTTCATCACTTTGACTGAGGAACAGTCGATACAGTCAGTGGCCCATATTTCGGACATGAGCCCTAATTTCGGACAAAATTGAGTCTTTGGCTTTAGGCGACCGTAAATCCGATAGTTTTTCACCAATTTCAATTTCCGGGACGTCAAATGAAAGTTGAAAAAGTCCTTTTTAACATACGACTGGTGCGGTCCCAATCCGACTTCTCCCCATTGAACGGCACGCGTTTAAAGTTCAAAAACCGCTCGTGAAATATGTGCGACAAAAATCTCTGTTCAACTTCTCCCGGTCAGCACTGAGGTGCCGTGTAAGATAGGAGTCTAGTTTTTGGATATAGTATACTAGCACTATTTCTGAGCTTACTCCATTTTTCTGATTGGTGATACGGACCGTCGTTTGGTTTCTGTGGACAAAATACGAAAAGGCCCCAATTTCGGACACTTTTGAATCGGCCTTCCGTTCCTTCATAAGGTACCAATCAAAGTCTTATCTATAAGTAATCACGTCATTTGACGACCCTGCGGGCCGAAATTTCGTCGGTTTCCCTCTATCTCTTATAATTTTTGAGATATAGCATAATTTTAAGTCTTTTTAAAACTTTTGCGCTTTTTTAAGAATTTTAGATGCAAGCATTGTTGAAAACGCCTCTTAAA